ATGTTAACATAAGTAACTTCTTTTCATTTTTTTTTTTTTTTTTGAGATGGAGTCTCGCTCTCTCTCGCCCGGGCTGGAGTGCAGTGGTGCCATCTTGGTTCACTGCAAACTCCGCCTCCCAGGTTCATGCCATTCTCCTGCCTCAGCCTCCCAAGTAGCTGGGACTACAGGTTATTCTTTTTGTGTAATTTGCCTTTTTGTGTTTTCTGTTTATTTTATCTTTATTTAAAGAAATAAAAAAGCGAAGAACAAAGTTTCCTCATTTATAAACTGAGCCAAGGTTATTTACAATCATGTTACCTTCTATGTTCATTTTCAAATCTTTTATTGTTGTTTTGAAAAATTAGGTAACCTAGTATGGTTTCTCAGGTCTTCATCAAGTGCCCCATCCTTTTTTAATAACTCTTTTGACTTTGCCTTTTAAAGATCAGACAAAAAATTAGGAAAACATATTCTTTTCTTACCAAAACTCATCTTAAAAATTTCCTAGAGGGCCTCTAGAAAATCCCAGATTTGTTTTCATCTTATACAAAGAAATGCTGGGAATAATTAGATTTGTTTGAAGTTTCATGAGAGGAGCTGCCATATCTGAGAAGAGATACTCAGTCTGTCCTAGGTTAGATTCTTATAGGTAAACTGTTATTAATATAAATATTTCAGAAATTGTTTGCTTTACGGGAAGTTCCTGGTAATTTGACAATGCCCTTGCTGTTTTACCCTCAGAGGAAACACTGATCAAAAACTTCTACGCTGGCGTGGTGGTTCATGCCTATAATCCCAGCACTTTGGGAGGCCGAGGCAAGAGGATTGCTTGAGCCCAGGAATTCAAGGCTGCAGTGAACTATGATGGCACTACTGCACTGTCCCCTGGGTGACAGAGTGAGACTCTGTCTCAAAAAACAAAATAAAACAAAAACCTCAAAACAGAAAAAAAACCCTACTGTGAAATACTTACATATGTACCTCAAAAGAGAATGTTACTTATCTTCTATTCTGATATTATTGGTTATAGAAGTAAATTAAGCACAGCTCTCAAGTATTTGCCATCCACAGAGAATTTCTGTTTCACTCTGATGCTTGCCTGAAGGCTCTGCTACAAGCTATAGTCAATAGTTTATGCCCAAAACAGAGACAGATTCAGAACATTAGGGAAAAGGAGTGTAATAGGCACTTTAACATTGATATTGAGATATCAGACAATAACCTCTTGAGTACAGGCTTTTGAGGTGATACAGCTTAGGTAACTTTTATATAGTACCGAAGCAGATGGCTTCAGGAAAGCAGACTGCTAACTCAACATTTAGCAGAACAAGTGATGTAGGACTAAGTGAAATATTAAAAGAATTTTTTTTTGTGTGTTTGTTTGGAATATTGTTGATTAGTTTTTTGTTTGTTTGTTTGTTTGGTTTGGTTTTTTGAGACAGAGTCTTCCTCTGTCACCCATGCTGGAGTGCAGTGATGCGATCTTGGCTCACTGCAACCTCCACCTCCCAGGTTCAAGCAGCTCTTGTGCCTCAGCCTCCCACGAAGCTGGGATTACAGGTTTGTGTTACCATGCCCAGCTAAGTTTTGTGTTTTCAGTAGAGGTGGGGTTTTGCCATGTTGGCCAGGCTGGTCTTGAACTCCTGGCCTCAAGCAATCTGCCCACCTTGGGCTCCCAAAGTGCTGGGATTACAGGCATGAGCCAATGTGCCCAGCCAATTACTTTTAACTATTCTAAGGCTGCCTGGCTCTAGACTTACAAAACAAATCAAGGAGCCTACATGGTTAATTAACTTTTATTGCTAAATAATTGGGCAAACCTCGTGAAACCGACCTTTTTTGTGATCAGTTATCATCTCTGTGATTACTTTGATCATAGGCGGTGGTGGAGACACTACTAGCAAAAATTAAGAGACTCAGAAACGAACAAAAAAGGTCACTGGTGTCCAGTTTAGTGCATCCTTCTGGGTTATTGCCACCTTTCATTATCTTTGAGTTATTTAATAATTCTGTAAGTCAAGGAAAACTTATAGTAATGCATATGATTCTTTAGTTTTCATGGCAAAGGCAGATACTGTTTAACTATTGAACAAACTTTCAGTGTTTTGTAAAAATGAAATTCTTTGAAAAGGGTGTGTAGGGCACGGTGAGGTAAAGGAGGGGAGAGATATTTAGGGAAGTAACTGCAGAAGAATCATTTCTCCTTGGTTGGGAAGAAGGTACTGGTCTACGAGTCCAACAAGCAGCAGGGTCCCCTCCTCACTGTTTAGCAGGCAGTATGTTGGGGAAGTGGTCAGACTTTAGAAGGGATGGCTGTGAAATACACCCAAGGAGGCTAGCTGCCCTAAGGTTTCCAGCCTCTACTTGACCTTAGTGCTCCTAGCATGGCCCAAAGGAGCAAAGACTTGAGACCTAATGGTACTACAAGAATACTCTAGATGTATTCAGTGCAGACCAGTGACCAGGTGTGTCTCCCTGATGCTTTGGTGCTGCTTAAGAACCTTCAGGTTCCTTGGCATAATTCTTGGAGATAGTAAGCTCCAGTTGTGGCTTAATAAAATTTCCCACCAGTCCTGTAACATAGGCACTTAGAGTACAATTTAAATGGAATTAAATACTTTTCTTGCATACCTAAGGTTCAGCACTTAATATTCATGCCTGCTACATAATGCTTCTGAAGTTTTCCTTGATTTCCCTGTCTTTTTAGTAACTGGTTTTCAGGCTTAGCTCTTGGGCTGAAGCAGATGTTCTATTTTTTATTATTTTCTTTCTGCTATGGAGGTACCCTAAATTCTTTTTGGAATTACAACTTGTTGGCTGGCAGGAATTTGCTGCATTTATGTTTTATCTCTTTCTTCCTGGTTCCTCTATCATCTCATTCCCACTCAAGGAGGTAGGAAGGGACAATTAGCAGCTCCTAAGGAATACTGTGGGATGCCCAGTTCCTAAAATTACTTTCCTAGTAAATTAAAGGTTTAGTATAAGTATCTTATTACACAGAGAGTAAAATAAATAAAACCAATGTGCTTAACTATATTGGCTTTGTTTACTGGTGAGCAAATCCCTGGCATAACTGACATCTTTGTTAGCACTAATAAAGAAGGTTAGGTTGAGAAGTGTTCTGTCCTTACCACAACTGAGCCACAATTGCCAAGCCTATATATGCTATAAGCTTGTTACCTCTCCAGAAGTACTAGAAAAGATAAACGTTAGTTCTGCCAAATAGGTATTATCCCACAATTAGGTTAATCAGAAACTAAGAGAAATTATACAAGACACAAGCCCTGGAAATAACAAATTTAACATTTAAATAGACCTGACTTCATGGTTTGCTCTTGTAATATTGAAAGTACCACAGGCAGTTTGATGGTAATGAAAACAGACACGTTGAAAATTATTTCTTTCAGCTGTGCTACAGTACAGATCTCAGCCCCTAGCCTTTGTGATCTCAGGAGAGTTCTGCGGCAATTTGCTCTACCTGGGGCTAAAGACTCTGGGAGACTTTGAGGGAACACTAATCCAGCAATTTGTCTGCTATAAGAACACCTACCCACACTTCAACACTTTCACTCCTGGATGTAATGTGAGATTTTTTTCTTCCAAACTTTTTAGCATCTGCAGTGCTATTCTGAAAGGCTCTAACACTAAAGTTTGTGAATGGAAGGCAGGTATTCTTCTGTTCAGGTTGCTAAGTTCTAACATTTGTTCTCTGAGCCAACAGAGTTCACTGTCCAAAGAGTCAGTTTATATAAATTTAGGCAGTTTTATAGCTACAAGAGGACAGAGATCAAGAACAATCATATATATAAGATATAGTTTAAAATAAATCAAACTCTTAGAAAATATGAATTTTAGTAAAAATTGCTATGACGGTATTTTTGTAATTTTTCAGTTCAGTCCTTAATGTGAGAGAAAACATGGAAAAGGATTATCAGCTGGCAAAACATTTTATGCTGAAATATCTTTGAGCCAAAAATTAAGGTTGGTTATTTCATAAAGAATATTTTACTTTTATAACATTATTCAGTGGACCCAATAGTCATCGTAAGCTAACACATTTCATTAAGAAATGTAAACTTAGTGTTACTGAAATATTCAAATTGTAGTCTTTACAGGAACAAGTATATACCATCTACAAATAAACTTAGTGCTATAAAATAATGTGTGTGTGTGTATATATATATGTGTGTGTATATATATATCATTTTATTTATTATTATTTTTTAAGACAGGGTCTCGCTGTGTTGCCCAGGCTGGAGTGCAGTGGTGTGATTTCGGCTCACTGCAGCCTTGACCACCCAGGCTCAAGCGATCCTCCCACTTCAGCACCCAAGTAGCTGGAACTGCAGGCGCATGCCACCATGCCCAGCTAATTTTTGTATTTTTTTTGTAGAGATGGGGTTTCACCATGTTGCCCAGGTGGTCCTGAACTCCTGCGCTCAAGCAACCTACCCACCTCAGCCTCCCAAAGTATTGGAATTATAGGCTTGAGCCACTGTGCCTTGCCATATTTTCATTATTATTATTATTATTATTATTATTATTTTGTAAAGAGGAGCCAAAGGAATGCCTAATCCTCCCTTTCTTCCTTGTGGGGAAGGGGAGCTAAGCATTCTTGGTAGATTTGGAATATATGGTGGGTGAACTGGTTGGCTCCTGGGGAGTCATGTTTAAATTTGAGTAGAAGGAAGGATCTTAGAGCTTTACCCTGGTGGTAAATATGTATAAAGGATGTCCTAATGTAGTACAATAGAGTGAGAAACAGGTCAGAAGTTTCCAGGGGAATAGCAAAAACCATTCTGCAAGTTGTGGGATTTTCCAGGTTGCTTCTGAGGGTAAGCTCCCTAACCTACCCACGTTGTATCCCTTTTAGAGAGACCAGTAATTTCTGAAGCCCCATGGATTTTCAGCTTTGTGGGAGCCTGGTTATGAATATCAGATGCCTGCCAGACCACAGTTAGTCACCATGTGCAAGAACATTACAGCAGATACATTTTTACAGGCCCTATCTTTCATACCTTTTCCCCCATGGATACACCCCCTGATGTGATGATGACATCAGCACGACTGATACCCTCATTCAAGGCATTGAGTAAGTCATCTGGGCTGGAAAAAAATAAAGACAAAGAAATTAACACACAAGGAAAAGATTTTAGATATAGTGCCAACTTAAAACTATATCGCCTTATTCACTAATAGGGATTAACATGAATACAGCACTATATTCTGTATGAAGTGGGAATCAAAAGGGTCTCTGCCTAACAGGAGCATTAAGTCTTAGTATGGAGAACGGACCTTGTACATGCTGAAGTAGTGGCTACTGGTGATTTCACGGGGCTTTTTGTTCTAACAAGCCACTATAATGAAAGGAGACAATGAGATGTTGGAGGATGTCTAACTATCCTGGTTTGCCTAGGAATATTCCTGTTTCAGTACTAAAGTCAGATGTCCTAGGAATCCAAATCAAGCCAGGACAATTGGTTACCCGAGGTGTTGGAAAGATCCCATAGGACTCTTTAGAGGGAATGTCTTAAGTGAGGCCCTGAGAAATGAGTTGGACTCTGAGAGGTGGAAAGGAAAAGAATGGGAAAGAGCTTCATAAGCAAGAGGATCTGTACTAGCAAAGGCTTGGAATAATGGTTAAGCCTGTGCTGTTTCTAGGTCACTGTGGAAAATAGCCTGCTTAGAGTGAAGGACTTGAGTGGGAATGACTGGGATACGTAGGATGGGACCTGATTTTGAAGAACCCTCAAGCTGATGAATTTGGAGTTTATCTAATAGGAAATGGAGGAGGGAGGATCCCTAGAAATAGGAAAAGCCAGTAGGTATTCATAACGTTGGGAATAGAAAAGGTAGGGGAAAAAGGACAAGGAAAGCAGAGATGGGATGAACTACTTATATGGGGTATGAACACAGGATGAATATTAGGAATGGAAGCAAGGCAGGTTCCTGACTGTCACTTGAAAAGGCAAGTACAACAGGCTCTTTGATGGTGCAGGTCGAAGGTCTGGGAAGAAGAGATGAAAACAGGGGTCTTATCTTTGGATGTCACAACAGTTGAAAAGTCCTAACCGGAGACTGATCAAGTGAGAATAAACAAAATGCCAAGAATCAAGACTTATGGAGGGACAGGATAATTGGGAGTAATTTAAAGGGATTGTTTAGTTACTACTTTAAATCCATACGAATCTACAGGGCAATGTGACCTGTGATTGGCATTTCCCTTCAATTGATGCAGTACAGAAAAGATACTTTTTGAGGAGTATATATCTAGCCATATCCTTGTTTTCTGAAAAATTCTTACCTATTTATACCGCCTGACTCTTCCTTTCCCTTTCTTCCCAATGGACATCTAATGAGAACAACTGAAAAGGGAGTGACTCTGGCTTCTGATTTTCTGCTTCCTGCCTTTCGTCCCCCCCCCTTGAGGCCCAGCTGTATTCTTGCTCTTGGGTTCTATGAGATAACCTTGTATCCTTACACAAATATCTCCTTTGCTTGAGCTGGCTTCAGCAGGTTTTTGTTAACTTGAAACCAAATTATCTCTTAACGAGACAGCATATGTTCTCACAAATATCTCATGATAGTGAAGTTTATTCATGCCCCCTTACCTTAATTTGATGAGAGAGGAAGAAGGAAAGTTAGTGACTCAAGATAGCATGATTTGTAACTAGGATATAATTTCTATTTTTATCCAGGTGTAACAGAGGTAGGGAGAACTTGAGACCTACCAGAGACATAACCTTCACAGACTCTATAAGAGATAAGCTAGTCAGGAGGTGGCATAGCACAGAGATTAAGAATGTGAACTCTGGAGTCAGACTGCCTGAGTGGAAATCCTAGCACCACTACTTGCTAGATGTTTAACCATGCACAAGTTGCTTAACTTCTCTTTGCCTTAGTTTTTCATCTGTAAAGTAACCATAATAGGGTTGTTATGAGGATGAAAAGATATCCTATTAAAACATATAAAACACTTGGAATAGTACCTGGAACAAACTAGGTTTTCAAGGAAGTCATCTGTCATTCTACTGCTGCTATGCTAACAAGTTAATCACACAAACATACCTAACAAACTAGCAAAGTTCAACTACAGCATGCTTGGGATTTTTATTCTGGAAAATACTCATGAGTAACACACAAGAAAATCACAGACTGGGACTTAAATACATTTACAGAGCTAAATATGAAAGGTCCAAATGGCAAGGTAGGCCTGGTTCCAACCTGAATAGCTTCCTTTACTATAAGGTTCTCTTACAGGGTCTGGGTAAAATTCTCCTTGTGATCTGTCCACAAGCTCTGGCTCTGGGAAGCAAGCTCCCAAGGAGAAGGGCCAAAAATAAAAGTTTGAAAAATGGCTCATATAAGGTTCAGCCTACCAATATAGAGACCCTTTAAAGTCATCAGTCAGTCATTGCATATACAGCCAAAAAAGTGCCCAGGTACTAACTGAAGGTAGAATCTATGTGTAAAACATGACTGACTTAAAAAAAAAATCCCCGACATAAATTTCAAACTTAAACTAGTTGGGCAAACATCTCAGAATTATTTTGAATAATGTGTGTACTTAAAGTATTCTTGACCTATGTATTTTGAACAGATTTCTCATCAATCCTTTTCATTTTGATTTAGGAAAAAAGACAGCAAATTATTCTGTTGTATTGAAATACTATACAATATGCATGTGATGGGTTCCTGATGCCCAGAGTTCTGGGCTCCTTGCCTTGCTGGATCATATTATCATTATGCTAAGCCAATGGTTTCTCATTTACTATGGAATAAATGAAAAAAACATCCCAAACACAGCATCACATGGAATGTGGTTCAAAATACTGACTGGGTAATGAATACTATCAACAAATACAATTTTATGTTAGTAGAAAAAGATATTAGCTAATTTTACAAAACTTGTAATACATAACTTACAACATGTTGATTCTATAGAATTATTGTAAAGCTACTGTAAACAAAGCAGCAGTGAGATGCACACCGTCATGGTATTTATCTTTATAGCAGGATAAAGGTTCTGGGACAGCCTAGCTGATTACTACAAATAAGCACTTTTCAATGCTTTTTCATACTTTTTTTTTTTTTTTTTTTGAGATGGAGTCTTGCTCTTGTCACCCAGACTGGAGTACAATGGCATGATCTCGGCTCACTGCAACCTCCGCCTCCTGGGTTCAAGCGATTCTCCTGCCTTAGCCTCCCAAGGAGCTGGGAATACAGGTGCCTGCCACTATGCCCGGCTAATTTTTGTATTTTTAGTAGAGACAAGGTTTCACCATATTGGCCAGGCTGGTCTTGAACTCCTGACCCCAGGTGATCGGCTTGCCTTGGCCTCCCAAAGTGCTGGGATTACAGGTGTGAGCCACCGTGCCAGCCTTACTCATTATTTTCGTATTATCTGGGAAACATGTTTTTTTCCTATTTTGTAAAACCTCAGAGACATCAACTCTCCACATGAAATTTTCTAATTTGCAGAAATCAACTAAAAGGGATTTTGTTCCAAATTCTAACTGAAATTTATCATGTTTCAAAGAATATGCTCAATGATACTTTGTACTCTGTGGGTAGTACATTCACAAAATCATTGAATCTCAAAGTTGTAAATGTCATCTTGTCCATTATCACTGCTGGGCCAGTTATTTCGGTCCTGCCATACTCTATCCCCCTCTGTCACTCTCTCTTACTCTCCTTTCTGTTGTACGCTTCTGGTGTCTGGAGATTTAGTCAGACACCCTGCCTTACTAGAGAGACAGGTACCAATGTATGACAATAGCCAGGGGATCTATAACTTCACTTATGTGGCATGCTATAACCTCTCAACAAATCTGTATGCTAGACTGAATAGGTATTACTATGCTCATTTTAAGAAAAGGCAAGTGATATTCAGAGAGGCAAAGTGTAGATAGAGCAGTAAGTGGCAGAGTCAGGACTACAGACTCTGGTTTCTTATTAAATGCTTGTTCTACTCCCTGCCCAATCAGAAGTAATTGTGTAGTTTTTTAAAGGCATGTAATATACCCTAAAAGGAAGATGGGAGAATGGACTTTTGTCCAAAAGCATCAGAAAGAGAGGATGCTGGTCAAGTGCAGTGGCACACCTGTAGTCTCAGCTACCTGGGAGGCTGAGGTGAGAGGACTGCTTGAGCCCTGTAGTTCAAGACTGCAGTGAGCTATCATCACGTCTGTGAATAGCCACTGCATTCTAGCCTGGGTGATGTAAGTGAGACCTAGTCTCTCTCTCTCTTTTTTTTTTTTTTTTTTTTTTTGAGATGGAGGAGTCTTGCTTTGTTGACCAGGCTGGAGGGGAGTGGCGTAATCTCAGCTCACTGCAACCTCTGCCTCCTGGGTTCAAGCAATTCTCCTGTCTCAGCCTCTCAAGCAGCTGGGATTACAGATGCCTGCCACCATGCCTGACTAATGTTTTGTAGTTTTAGTAGAGATGGGTTTCACCATGCTTGCCAGGCTAGTCTTGAACTCCTGACCTCAAGTGATCTGCCCACCTTGGCCTCCCAAAGTGCTGGGATTACAGGCGTGAGCCACCGTGCCCGGCCCTAGACCTAGTCTCCTAAAAAAAAAAAAAAAAAAAGCACAGGATGCTATGGCATGAGGTATGGATTTGTCTGGGGTAACCAGCAGAAAACTGCATGTGTGAACATTTTACTATCGTTCTGTGGAATGAAATGAACATGATTCAGAATCCCATGTTCAGATGAAAACTATGGTTATTTTGGTTAACCATAGCTTAAGGGCCTATTCACATCATAAAATTGCTTTCTTTTTTGTGATTCATGCTATATTTTAAATTATAAAACATTTCCAATGTAACAGTATAACCAATACCCATGTATCCATCGCTCAGATTTGACAAATGCTAATATTTTCCAATATTTACTTCATATTCCTTCCCCCAGACTCTATTTTTAACAAATAAAAACTGAGTTTGCTTTCTAAAACTCAAAGATTACTCTGAAGAGTGATAAGAGGAAATAGGTAACAAGGGTTATAATCATGAATAATATAATAGAGAGAAAACAGTTCATGATTTTCTCAGTTTTCTTACATAAAGCAAGCAGGGTGTATTAATTTTCTCAAGGATAGGAG